ATAGACTTAAAGACAAGAATCACATGATCATCTCAATGGATATAGAAAAAGCATTTGACAAAATACAGCATCCATTCATAATTAACACTAGGAAAAAATAGGAATAAAATGACCATACCTTAACTTTGTAAAAGYTGTATGACAAACCCAAGGCCAACATTATTCTAAATAGAGAAAAACTAAAATCATTCCTCTAAAAAACAGAAACAAGACAGGGATACCCACTTTTACCACTTTTATTCTAAATAGTCCTCAAATCTCTAGCCAGAGCAATTAGGCAAAAGAACACTTAACTTTCAATTGAAATAACTTAAACTCTGTGATTCCAGTTAGGAAAGATTTCAGGAAAATTATGAAGAAAAGACCTGTTGGTCTTGCCCAGGGTCACTAGTATGGCTRTAGTCATCTGGTGCTCCTTCAGTAGTTTGGTGGCTCTGTGAAGAGTGGATGATCACAGATGGCCTCCCTTGCATGTCTGGTGGATGGTAGGCTCTTAGCTAGGGGCATTGATTCTCCAATCTCTGGATTTCTTGGAAAGGCTGGCTCAAGTTTACTCACATTGTAGTCTTAGGGTTCCTACTGTAACCCAAAGAGAATAAGCACTAATGTGCAAGTACTACTTATACATCTGCTTGTCTTGCATTTGCTAGTGCTACAATGGGTGAAGCCAGTAGTATGCCCTTTCCCTTCTTCAAGGAAAAGAAATAAGGATAAAGAAACACTTCCTCTCTGTTGAAGGAACAGTGAAGTCATACATCAAATGACCATGAACACAAGTTTGGAATGGTTTTATTGTGGCTGTCTTTGGAAATAATCTGCCATACTCTTTCATGGCCGGTTTTCAGAGTTATAAATAGGTGCAAGCTTATTGCCAATGTTGTCCAATAGGTTGTAGATTTGTTTTTATTTGTTTGGGTTTTTTGTTTGTTTTACTTCTATTAATACAATCATTGTGAACTCATTGAATTTTGCATATTCAAACATATGCAAAATGTTGCCATTATTGTTCTTTATGTTATCCCCAAATTATTGCTTTTTGAGCAGTAGGGGCTCCCCCATATTGACTTCCATGTCTTTTTGACACAATTTGTTTACTCTGGGAGAACTTTTTTCTTTCCCTTGCTTACATTRTATATTTTCTGACTCAAACTTGGAACTGACCATTTTTCATGAAATCTTGATTCTGGGCACAGGTTGTGTTCATTGGTGCTGAATTGTCATTACAAATTTGGAAATTATTTTCTTGAGAATGTAACTTTTAGGGAGGGAAATAATGCATTAATGTTGTGATTTCAAATTTAGTATTTGGTGATGATAAAGGTGCTCTATTTAYATTCTAAAGAGTTCTATGGAATGCTATCATAATTCAGATGTACCTATATAAAAACGCCTTTATTTCCTGTTTAAGGGATACTATTATTTCTCAGCTGGTGGAAAGAGGAAAATGATGCTCTGCCTGGCTTGTGGACGATGCATGAGAGCAGAGAAGAGACTGAAACAGTTGCTTCCAGGGGTTCCATTCCTCTGTGTTTCAGGCTCCAAGACCCAGAAGCCCCTATCACAAGGGCCTTTCAGGGTCATCAGTGTGGTCAAGGTGTGTAATGATCTGAATTCTGCTAATGTACATGTGTCAACAGTTTGGAAACTTTGATGTATTTATTATCTGCCTTGCATTCAAGTTCATCTCCACTCATCCAATTCATCCTCCTCAGATGCATCTCCACTCATCCAATTCATCCTCYCTTAAYACATCCTGCTTGCATTGATTTCCTTTTCCCCACTGTAATTTAAAATACATTGTCTATTAATAGTTCCATTCACCCTGTGAAGTTAATTGGGCACTTCTGCAGCTTTAATTTGCTGACACTTTCCCCTGTTCTCTGTGTCACTTTTAGTCGAGGAAATAACTGCAGATCTTTACTTAGTGGAACAGCTTTTTTACCTATATCCACAGGGTAAACTTCTTTGATGAGCATGGAGCATTTCAGGGGGAATTTGACATGTTGTTGTTAACTATTCAGGTTGGGTGCCTGCATTCACACATCCATGTCTAATGCTATTTAGAGTTCTTGGAGATGAAAAACTAAAAACAAAAACCAAAAACCAAACAAAAAAAAATCCTCTGCTACTTTTGTGTGACCTTAATTTGAAATGGTACTATTTAAGAGATCCTCCCTTCAAGTTTAGAAGTGAAAAAAGCTGAGGGAACTTGCACACCTGAATATAAAGGAGCAAGTCCAAAAAGGTGGGCACCCTCCAGCCTGTCCTCTCAAGGCTGACCTGCCCCATCTCCAGATCTCGCTCATCTCCTAATTCCCAGCCACATTGTGCCACCTGTAACCATCCACTGAAACAATATCTAAAGGAGAAAGGAATCAGTCCTCTGGGAAGCCAGAGGGCATTTGGTTTGGAGGAGCTGATTACCAAGATCCTCAGAGTTACAGCATCTCCACAGCTTTTCCCTCAGGGCAGCATCCTAGTTAGGGATGAAGTGGCTCTCACCCCTTCATTACCATGTGCTGGACACTGCTCTCATTCCCCTCCTTTCATCAGTATCTTCCACCATAGGATGGCATCATTCCAAAGTCAAAAATTGAGGGAATGTCGGTGGTGGTATTGTGTCCTCTTACTTTGATCCCAGGCTGTCCTTGGCCCTGCTGCCATCTCCTGTCACAGGTGAAAGCAAAAGAAACAAAAAATGTGACATTGACCTCAAATAAAATAAATAGAGAAGGCCCCAAACAGACCAGATGCTCAGAAGTCACCTAGTAACTCGGTGTCAGGGACGGAAAAAGAACTTAAGATTTCTGTCCAGTGTCCTTCCCATTATAGCATCTGGTATTCTATAGTACATGAAGTGACCATAGCAAAATTTAAATGTCACACACACACACACACACACACACACACACACACACACACTCATTGAACTGAGACTGAATGATGCCCAAATAAAAAACTAAAATTTAAAGGTTTGTATAAATGTATAAATGTACAATTTTTTTAAATGAATCAGGCTGACTTATCATCTTACGAGGCTGACAAAACTCTAAGTTATTATGAAGAACTCCTATTATCTTTACGGACGAAGACCTGCATGCAAGCTGTGTGTCACAGTGGTATAGCAGCAACACACCAGAAGGCAGTGAAAATAATCGCGTACAAAAACGGGGATGGATATCGTAATGGGAAGTTAATTGTGGCTGGAACATTCCCCATGGTAGGTGACTGTCACTTAAATGCTGCTTACATTCTCAGAGGTAATGATAATGGTGATTCTCCTGATAAGAAAAAAAAAAATGAGATTGAGTGATAAATGTCCCTGGCCAGGTTTACCAATTTAAGCTGATGAGATTGAGATCCCTGTTTCCTTAGAGGCATTATTTTTTATTGTATTTCTTTGGATAGACTTAGAAAATTTTTTAAAAAATCAGAATGTGTTTTCTTAGATTGACTCCAAAGCAAAGATATAAAAGGAGAAAAAGTAAAACTACCCAATTTTCTTCATTCTTTTCAAGAACAATGTCATTTTCTTCCCTCCTTCCCAAGCCAACTTCCAATTTTATGTCATCTGAGTGATCTAAGAGATGCCACCTTGTTTATCATGTGGAGCACTAGGGTGCTTATTTGTTGATAGGGTGCTTCATTTTCAAATTGGAGAAGAAGGGATTGTGTTAAGAGGAACTGTGTGGTCTGTCTTAAAGATCACATAGACACAGGATTGAAGGAGAGTCCAGAAGGCCCAAACCCAGATTTGTCTTTCCAGGTTTGATGATCATCCTGTCTGTGCATTAAGATTAATACTTTAGTAACATATTTTACAGGTGATGTTAAATATGAGATAAAGTTCTCATTGGAACTTCTTTACAAACACTACTTATTTATCCACTCACCTCTTTGGTTGAAAAATAAATGGATTTTTAATTAAAATATTGTTGTTCAGTAAACTAAACAAAGTACAGAAATTAGTGACTTAAGATTCACTCAGGGATCCATACTGTCTTTTGTGGTCTTGGGAAAAAACATTAGCCTTTTCATTCTGTTTTCTCATCTACCAAATGGTGGTAATAATACATGTCATATCTTGGTTTAAAAGTTAACTACTCATTTATTTTAGAGCAGTTCATCAATATGAAATATTACAATAATTTTATACCTTATCAAGCAACAAAATTGAAAGTAGATTTCTCGATTGGACATTCCTTGGAAAGTACTCTGAGGCTAAAATGTATTAACATACATCAGTTGCTGTGTTACATTTTTAGAGCTAGGAATTTTCACAGTGGGATTAGACTAATATAAAATGGTATAGAACAATCTAATATTAGAAATCATTACTAATCAAAAATCAAGATCTGGGAAGGTGATGTAGCTCAGGAGTAGAATGGTTGCTTAGCATGTATGAGTCCTTGTTTTAACCCCTGCTACTGCTATTACACACACACACACACACACACACACACACACACACACACACACGGTCAAGATTAGTAGTTACTCAGATCTGTATTTTCTCAAGTTAAAAGACTTTCTCAGATTTCTGAAAGGTGAGCTCTTCTTTATTATTCCCAATTCTATCACTAGTTCGTGTCAGTCCTTCACAGACTGTGTTGTTCAGCTTCTTACAGAATGCACAGGACAGCTTGGGCTTTCCAGAGCAGCTTCCAAAGTATACACCAGAGATGGAACCACAGTTTTTACCTTGCGTGATTTGGTTTTATGGGCTCTAAATGAATCCTTTATGCAGAGAGACTCTGAAGAACAAAAGACAGGCTCCGCTCCTGTTGGAACAGAAGAGATGACTGCTAAAAGTATGTGGACAATGCTTCTGCTTATGTTCAATCATGAAAAAGTTAAGTGAGATTCTTTCAATCACCTCTTCTAGAATTTTAAAATCACAACCAGCTACTATTGTAACTGATTTAAGAGTCTCAATGAGATTCTCCAAGGCATAACTTGGGTTATCAACTTGGTTTTTGGAGCCAGAATACTAAGGTTCAAGTTCTAGCTCTGTCACTTGCTCCGTGGCTTTTGGGAAAGTTTTTAACCACTATGTACCTCAGTTTTCTCATTTGTAAGAGTGTTTTTAAGGACTGACTTGAAATAAAAACCATATATAGAATTTTCCTTTGAATGTTATCTTAGTTCATTTTATGCTACTATAACTGAGTACTATAGATCCAGTAACTGATTGATTTATAAAGAGTAAGTATTTACTTCTCACAGCTTCGGAAGCTGGAAGTCTAGAATCAAGGCCCTGGCAGGTTTGGTTTTCTGATGAGGGTTGGATTCTCCAGAGGGGAGAAGTGCTATGTTCTCAGGAGGCTAAAGATAGAGGAGGGCAGGAGAGCCAAACACTGTGTGAAGCCTCTTTAGTAAGGACCGTCAACCCATTCACAAGGAGAGGGACTCTTATGACCACCTTTGAAGGTCCCACTTTCAGAGACCATCACATTGACCATTAAGTTTCAATATCGGAATTTTTCTGGAGGGGAYACATTCATACCACAGCACTCACATACCCACACCACAGAAATACACAATATACATATTCGCTTGAATATATATATTTAATATCTATATTAAATACATTCATTTGGCCCTTGTAAATATATTAATAAAAGTATTAATAAATATATTAATAAAATATATTAAAGTGTACATACACATATACACACATGTAGATACATATATATGTGTATGTATTTTTTTTCTTAGAACAATGCCTGGTTAATGTTTATCTAGGCATTCAATGAATATTAGTTATTATTATTCTGTATAGAATATTATTTATTTTTGTTGCTGTGGTTGCTGCTGATATGTACTATGTAGTTAGGTTTGCAGCAGTTGTGTTTGTATAGAATATGTATATATATTTTCTTTTTATTCATACATTTAATTGAATGAGTTTCTTGTATCATTGCCATATGGCATGTATTGTGCATTGATGTTTCCACCTTCCCTCTACATCTGTCAACATCCCTCTTCCCCCCTTTACTAGCCTCTAAAAGTCCCTCTCTATTTTCAGGTTATATTTTATTGTTTCCACATAAAAGAGAAAGTTTGTGATATTGTTTGAATAATTTCACTTGACATGATGTCCTCCAGTTCCATCCATTTTCATGCAAATGACAGATTTTATTCTTCTTTATAGATGAATAATAGTTCATTGTGTATATATCTCATCATTTCTTTATCCATTCATCCATTAGATGTTGAGGAGCACCTAGGCTGATTTCATATTTTGGCTAATGTGAATAGTGCCACAATAAACATGGGTTTGCAGGTGTCTCTTTTGTATACTGACCTTATTTCCCTCAGATTTATACCCAGGAGTGGTGTAGTCTGGTCATATAGTGGTTCTACTTTTAGTTTTTTGAAAAAGAGACCTCCATACTGTTTTTTTATAGTGTCTATACTAATTTACATCCCCCCAAACAGTATATAAGGTTTTTTCCCTATATCTTTGCCAGCAGATGTTCTCTTTTGTTTTTTTGTAGAAGTAATTTTATTTATTTTTATTCTTACATCATTGATGAATTTGGAATGCATTTTTTATTTTTTTATTTGTTCTAATTAGTTATACATGACAGCAGAATGCATTTTGACACTCTTTACACAAATAGAGCACAAATTCTCCTTCCTCTGG